GTACCCTTGAAGCTCGAAACGGCGAGCTTGGTCGAGTAAATATCGTAGACTTCAAGCTCGTCAATGTCTTTGCCGTATCCATGTTTCTTGATCACCTCATATGCCCCAAGATGGTCAAGCATACGCAGCGCATTCGGTGTAAGGTTCACTGCGCCTCCGATTGTTGCTGGCTCGGGTCTGATCTCAATAATGTGTATGTTTGGTAGGGCGTCTCTTGGGGCGAACTTGGTTAGTGCGAGTGCTGTTGTCAAGCCGGCTATGCCTCCGCCCAGAATAATGATGTCTAGCTTTCTTGTCGACAGGTCGCCCATCTTGGCTATTGATGCCAGGTTATTTCTCAGACAATAGATATAAAATCAAGTGACAAGACCAGTAAAATGACCTGATTTCAAAAGTCGAGTATTGTGGTATATCAGGCTCCAAAGAGAATCGAAATTGCGCGGGCAGCGTACAAAGTATGATACCTTATTATTTAAAGTATCGGGCTCTTCTATGGTCAAACATGGAGTAGTCCGTAGCGCACCGAGCGCAGCCCGGCGCTCAGCTTATCCCATCATGAGCGTGACAAGCGACAGGATGCTAGCTGACACGCAGAGCGATCCTTTTGCGAGATGGCTAAGCGACGCAGGTACATGAGAAGAACTGCACACTATTCGTCCCTGCACTCTGAATTCATGAGAAAGACTGCAATGCGATTCGTTGGCACTGGCATTCCGTAGTGTATAAAAGCAGAATGCAGGGCCCACTATCGTCAGCCACGCGGCCGCCATAACGACGGGCTACAGATTGGCTTGCTGACACGGCACCGAGCCCGGGACCGAAGCTTAAGCCTTCACACCTGCCGCGATATGCACGATGAATCGACTGCCAAATGCATCCTTAGGGGCTGTTTTGCCTGTGTCGGGTCAGCCATGGTGGGCGGCGCAAAAGGTAAAATGGAGACGTCAGACGGGTTCCCGTGTAGGACAAGAACACCACCAACGGACGTCCGTACCCATCCTTGCCATCCCCCGTGGACCATGGCGTATTGATTTCCCAGTTCGGTCTGCACGATCACTGTTGTTATAATCATGAGAAGAAGTCTGCCCATCTCCAGCAAGGACACGATTGTCTTGATTGGAGAGCGACACATGTTATCCAGCATAACTTCTGGGTAGACAATCCTGATCCATCATATGATCTCGCTTGCCGTTATGGGTGATGCAGCTGGGAGACTACTCGCTAAAAAAGCACTATGAGCACGCGAAGGCTTCTGCCGAAGTGGGGTAATGCTTCCGTGCTTTCATGCCGCAACCTTCTGACGACTGTAATGTCGCGATGGAATGTGCAAGAGGCGTATTTTGTCGGTCGCTCATAGTATATACACCATGCTCTCTATCATGATGTAATAATGCTCACTCGATGCTGTCATCTCGGTCGGGCCATTTCTCTCTTGTGCGGCGAGCGGAAGCAACAAGAAAGGCTTGTGGCCGTCGAGCTGTCTAGTCGAGCTGTGCATAGGGAGCTATTCACCTGGCTGGTTGGCTGCCAAGCTGGCTGCGCAATAAACGGATAACATGGCTTTGCATGCCGTTCATATGGAACACAAGCTTACACATAACAGCTCAAACAGAGATTCAATGGAATCATCGCCGGCCCGAACCCTACGGGTAAATCATTTGACGTGCTACGTAGATCCATCTCGCAGGCTCTTTGCTGCTCGATGCAGGATTCGGGTGCCCGAAATTGCATCCAAGGTCAAAAGGCTTGGCGGGATCTCAGCTCGGGTCAGATTGCCAAATGATTGCCCTAGAAGCAGTAGTAGTTCATACTCCCTATTGCCGAACTTTATTCCGTAGATCAAGAGATGCTAACCTGTTTATCCTTGTGCAAATCGTGACGCATATCGTCTTATTTAAACACGTCGTCTGAATTATAGCATTCGCATCATGACCTCTGCTTATTCATTCTCTATAAGCAGCGACTGCGCCGCGATGCCAATGCCCTTGCAAGCGAGATCCGGCCATTTCGTGCTGTGCCTCAACCAGATTTACCCATTTGAATGACACATGCACTCAACCTTGATTGGTGGGAAGCCTCCCGATGTGACCTACCCCTGGATTACGGCTTTATTGGGACAATGCGAGATCATTATGAACGGAATACTTGCCTCTTGGAATCAAGTTGACATCCGGGACTCGGTAGGGATGCAGGTACGCTCAAATCGCCAGGCACCGGGTTGAAAGTGCCGTGTCGTGCCAAGACCTTGAGCCGAGGGCATTGAGATGCCACCTTCGTCATGCCAATTGACGTCAAATAAAACATCATGATGCCGCCTCAGTGGTCCATCTCGGGCAACAGTCCTGTGTTTCTGTCACCAGTAACTTGTACGACACAATGAAGGGAGAACGTGTACTCGCCCGGCTGCTGCTGTCTACGGCGACAGCCGCTGCTCACCCTGCATTTCGCGGCCGCGTAATCGACCAGCGAGATTATCTGCTCGCGGCCTATGACTACGTCGTGGTGGGAGCTGGTGCAAGTGGTCTTACGGTCGCCAACCGTCTCAGCGAGGATGCTGGTGAGCAGACCGAGACTTTGCGGAGTGAGAGTATCTTCTAACTTGTGCTCAGGAACCACTGTCCTCGTCATAGAGGCTGGCCAATTGTGAGTTAGACGGCCGGCTTTCAAATGAGCTCCACTGACAATTTCGAATAGTGACCAGGGTGAGGATATCGTGACTATTCCCGGTTTGGCTGGTGGTGCAATTGGCACTCAGTACGACTGGAACACCTCCTATGTCGCGACCGAGTATGTCGAAAACCGTGCCATTTCGATACCTCAGGGTAAGGTCGTTGGCGGCTCAACCAAGCTCAACCGCATGGTCTTTGATCGTGGCTCAAAGTCTGATTATGACCGATGGGAGGATTTGGGAAGTGAAGGGTGGGGATTCGACGCTCTTTTGCCATACTTCAAAAAGGTGAGTCCAACACCATCGACGTGGAATTATTGAAAGTTCTGTCGTGGCTTACGCGTGTCATGATCCCAATATGCAGAACGAGTTCTTCACGCCACCAGATGAGAATATCGCCTCCACGTACGGCATCACTTACGATGTGTCTGCTCATGGATTCGATGGTTACATGAACGTTAGCTGTGAGTGCTGGAGCCATTCAATCGCATGACTTGCATTCTTTGATCAGGAAGGATATCGTTTATCCATGTCGCAAGCAATGCGTACCCCATGATTGGAAAATTTAGAAGAGGCTGATTTTTTTTTTTTTTAACTCTGTTCAGACGCGCCATTCATCTGGCCCACAACTAGTAAGATATGCAGCCAAAATGAAAGTGCCACTTGATGTCTAATGATAATCACAGAGGACTTTGCGAGCGCCATCGAGGAAGTTGGAATATCAATTTCGCCGGATCAGGCAAATGGCAATGCCATTGGTGGTTTCTACATCCCGCATAACCAGGACCCTGCCACCGCAACCCGCTCCTCCGCAAGAGAAGCGTATTACGACACTGTTGAGACTCGTGGCAATTTGCATTTAATTACCGGCCAGCAGGTCACGCGTATTCTGACTGATGTTACCGGAGACACTGTGACTGTTACAGGTGTTGAGGTGAGGAGACATGCCGATTGCTTCGTGGTGTACTTGCTAACCAATTACGCAAGTTTGCATCTGGCCGCAATGCTTCGAGATCGTCCATTACTGTCCAGAAGGAAGCCATATTGGCAGCTGGTGCCATTTTCACACCGCAGATCCTTCAAGTCTCAGGCATTGGCGACTCGGCATATCTCTCCAGTATCGACGTGAGCACTGTGGTCGACTTGCCAGCTGTCGGACAAAACTTTCACGACCACATTCTCTTGCCGACTGTCAATACGAGTCAGTAAAAATAATCTTCTCAAATGTTGTTCACATAAGCTCACATGAAATGCTAGTCGTTGCACCCCTTACCGCAAGCAATCTCACCACCAATGCGACATACGCGGCAGAATCGCGCGAGCTCTACGACACTGAGCACACAGGCCCTTATGCCGACCCGACTGGCGACTTTCTCGTCTTCCTGCCTCTGCAGAACTTCACGGAGCAATGGTCTACCATCCAGACGGAAGCAAGCGCGCAAGACCCGGCAGCGTACCTCGCCAATGACACAGCTGCGGAAGTCATTGCGGGCTATACTCAACAGCACGAGCTCATGAACGAAAAGCTGGGATCGACCGACTCTGCCATTCTGGAGCTCATCTGGGCCGACGGCACTGTGGTCCTCGGGCTGGAGCACCCTTACTCGCGAGGCAGCGTCAAGGCACCCTCGGCCGACATCTTTGATGCGCCCCTGGCCGACCCGAGCTACCTGAGCAACCCGCTCGACGTCGAGATCCTCGTCGAGGGCGTCAAGTTTGTGCGGACGCTGATGGGCGCCGACGCGCTTGCGGCGCTGCAGCCCTTTGAGGTCGTGCCCGGCGTCAACGTCACCAGCGATGAGGACATTGCCAGCTTTGTCCGCCAGAACGCCGCTACTCTGTACCACCCGGCCGGAAGCTGCAAGCTGGGCGCCCAGGAGCAGGGAGGTGTGGTTGATAACGAGCTCAAGGTCTATGGCATTGAAGGGTTGCGCATTGTTGATGCAAGCGTCATGCCGCTGTTGCCAGCGAGCCACACGATGACCACGGTCTACGCCGTGGCAGAGAAGGTGAGTGCTTCATATGAACCCCAAAATCCTATGCCTAGTTGTTCTTGGAAATAATTATAATACTAACCGCGCTCACGTATAGGCTGCTGATATCATTCGTGGACTGGCCTAGGGAAGCAAAATGTATCCTTAGAATTAGCTTTTTTGAGAATAAAATTCCCTTACTGTCCTTGCAATCTTGATCATCAATTGTTGCGCATGACCCATCCCATGCTATGACCAATGCTGTGGACTATAGACCTGGGTCAGTAACCATGACTCGGATACTCAGGTTTGCCCCACTGTCATAGCATACGATAAGCCCCTCGCCACTCAACATCCAAGGTCGATTAGTGTAGCTGGTTATCACATCGGATTCTGATTCTTCGTCACGCATTCCGGTAACCGGGGTTCGAATCCCCGATTGACCTGATGTTTTTATCATTTCTTTTGCCATGTTTCTCGAAATTTTCGCAGGTGGAACTCAACTTGGATTATTCAAGAGCGATCCTGCGAAATCATTCATAATATACCAGTGGCTGCCTTTATTCATAAATATACGTAACGCTGGCTCTTATAGGATCATTTTTGATTGAGTTGATTTGGTCAGCTATATCGAATTTATGAGAGAACATGTCGCGATGCTACTGGCCGGGAACGCTAAAGCTACGTAAATTTCTGCATTGGGTCTGTAATAGTGGAACCGCCGCCCACTAACAACAACGACTGAAAGGGATTCATATTCCAACCACCATTATGACTCCTGAGAGACATTCAGCGTACACTTGTCACTAAACGCGACTTCGGCATGATTCACCATCGATCGTTTTATGAGTGTAGGTAAAAAATAACTTGTACACCCACGTTGGGCATGACAGGCAAAAGAATGATCCGAGGCGGGCTCGATCCGCCGACCTTCAGTGTGTTAGACTGACGTGATAACCAACTACACCATCGGACCCATATGCTGACTCGATCGTCGCCAACCAAGTTGCTTGTTGATGAAAGCAAGCCTGTAAATATCATATATGATCAATACAGTCAAACGAGTCATTGCCACGATTGCTAGACTTTGGTAGAAAGTACAGGTCTGCGTTGACCGACTTGATCGTCAAACGTGTTACCGCCTATAAACCAGGAAGAGATCATGAGAGTCAAATTCAAATGGCTAGTCACATGCAGTGATGCTCCATATAGAACCACAGAGGCGTCAAGGTGCTTTCAGCAATCCCTCATGTTGAACAGACCAGCTTCCGTCTTTTGGAAACCCTGGGGCGTCGTCTTCTGATCCTTGCCAGCCTGCTGCCATGTAGGCGACTGTACTCATTTCATCAGTATCATTTTAAATTGTGCACATCGTAATGACAGATTTCTGACATACCTGCATAGAGAAAACCAGCATTTCCTGGCATGAACGGAGGCGGCGTGCCTCCATCTCCTCCACGAACAGCGAATCCTGTACAACCGTTTAACATGATGAATCCTTGCCGCCAAAATTCAGAGAAATATCTTACCGGCATCATCAAATTTCCAGTAGTCATACGCAGTGAGGTGATAGATTGCCCTCTCAGGGTTCCCTATGCGAGCCGAGTTGATGGCTAGAACTGGGCGACCCCAACCACGAATACTGGCGTCGCCCCAGACTTCCCAGACCTTGTCTGCTGTCCTGAGCGCTACCTCTGGGTCAACGGCGGGAGTGTCTGGAAGTATACCCTTGATGGAGAAAATTGTCAGTGACACTGCCTTTGGTACTCTTGTAGGCTTGAGGATAATTAAAAATCCAAATCATGACTAATGCTTACCTGAAGCATGATCAAAGAGCGTGGATCTCCGTTCAAAGAGGTATCGTTCCACCACGACGAGTTCAGACCTTCGTATACGGTATATAGTCCATCGACTTGAGGTGGAGGAGCCAGGCTCTCGGCTACAGTCGTCCACGCTACGGGTATCTCCTGGCCGAGCTTTTCCTTCCAGCCACGGGCGACATCGAGACCGTAGCGCCAGTAAGCGATCTATTTCATTTGTCACTAATGATTCAGCAATTTTAAAGCATCTTGGATTCTTCTTACCTCATAGGCAAGATTGAGTGATTCTGTCGGCGGTGTATTCTCCGTAACACCATACGCACTTTGATGTCATGTTAGACAGTAGTCTGAAGGTGCAGCTCTAGCTTATCGACGACTTACGGCGGACCAAGATCGTAGTATCCCGAAGATGCATTATACCAGGCATAGGAAGCCATATAGTCGGCCGTGGCAGTCAGGACCTCATCCCAACGCTCGAGCGTCGATTGGTTTGGCGCAGCCTGGTAAGCCAGAGTCGCAAGGTACATGACATGAGGCTATTGGCTCCACGTTAGTTGCCTCACAATCAAGCAGCACCAAATTTAACATGCACAAGAACATACCTGCTGCCACATGAGTAAGCCGTTGATACCTCCAGGGGCACTAGATCCCGTAATAGTTTGCGTCATCTTCGGCCACCGGGCCCCCTCCCATCCCATATTCTGGGCGCGCGCCAGCGACGACGGCAGCAGTGCCTCGTACAGCGCGGGGAAGATGGCGTCGAAATGCTCCTGCCGGCCCCAGGTCGACCAGTGGGCATTGTGCCAGACGACCATCTCCATGTGGAACTTGCCGTACCAGCCATTGTTCATCAGGCCGCTCTCCTGGGGGGACTGGCCCTGCGGCGCGCTGTTGACGCGGACGTGGTATTGCGAAAGAACGATTCTTCGCTGCAGCTCGGTGGCGTTTGGGTTGGAAGATGCCGTGACGTCGACGAAGCCTCCGTTGCTCCAATAGTCACTCCAATCAGCAGTATTTTGCGCCTGAATATGCGAGGGTAGGGCGGGCACCTCTTGTTCCGGGGAGAAGTGAGCCGTGAAAGAAATGCTATCATTCAAAGCGGAAGAAGTCGCCCCTAAGCCCAGTGTATAACTGTGAGCCTTGGTCGTATTTGAGCCCTGCGGTTCATCACGAGAGAGAGTCAAGGAAGAATCCAATGGCCAACGCAGATTCAAGTAGTAGCTTGTTTCCTGCAGTTCATGATAGACATGTATTGTACCATTCTCTGCATCGTCGTCAACAATGTTGGTGGTGTGGTTCAGAGGGAAGTCGTATACGCCGACAAAGACCTCATACTTGTACGCAGTGCTGTGAATAGGCGGATAGGGAAAGTCGAGTTCGACCTCGAGTTCACCACTCGAAACAAGCGCAGACGTGATGTCAAATGTAACCGCGTCTGACTCAAAATCCCCTTGCGTGACGACTGTGACATCCTCATCGTTCAACTTGAAGCTCGATGTGATTGTACCAGTCCATAGGTTTAATTCCTGACGTGGTTCGGTGATATTTGTTGGCGAGAGAGTGTTTCCTTGATACTTCAAGCCAATGCGGCCAAGATTGATCCGGTTTGGGTTGGCAATGAGCCACTGAGAGACTGCTGGAAGATCAGGATCAGGTATATCGTAGGAAACATTCCTCCCATGCGTCAGCATTGGCACGCCGTGGTAGTCGCTCAAAAGTTCCCTAGTCACACCAAACATTAGATGCAATCACGCTTCTTACTTAAATCGAGATGTACCCATCTGTCGGCAAGGAATCATTATGCCATGCCCAGCTCGAGAGTGTGTTGAAGGGCAGGAAACTTTGCATTCCCGTATTGTCGACGTTAAAGGCAAAGTTACCATTGCCGACCTGAAGAGGCGTCGTCTCATTGTCAATGAGATCTGTGCGAATGATGTTGAATTGGGAAACGACTGTTTGTCTATCAATTAGAGCAGAGGCGAGTATTGGGAGCAGCGCCCCCAGAAGCACATTTCGAGGCACAATGGACCAGGCCATGTTTGAAGCGCTCACATACTTTGATGTCAGTCTTGAATATTATTCATCTAGAATCTTATCACCATGAATATACGTTCCCGTCGAACGTCGTTCCCCATGAAGATCAATCCGGGGTAAATGCGACCCGAGTGCGCCTATTCCCCTCTTCGCTACCGGATATAGTGGTTTATGGCAGTTCTCATTCCGCCAATAGTATCGCTGCATACATAGTAGGAACAGTAGATCATCTGCGCCACCTAAGAATATATTGTGCTTTGGTTTGTTCGCGAAGAATCACCCAGATATATTGATGAGCAAGTAGTCTTATGAAAGGTTTTGTAGAGTGCACGGAATGGGTTGAAATTTGTGTGAGCAACGAACCAATCATGGTGTGCATATAATGTCACGTACGAGGTATACAATGTGTTCAGCCCACTTTCGCCACTGGTTTCAATCCTTCTCCTATCTTCGGCGAACTAATGAGCTCCCAAGCTTGATCCTTTATTAGTCTTGAAATGTTGCAGTGGCTCCATGAACGAAAGTATCGAACTTAGAGAGTGCACTATTTGGGCGCAGTTGCTCGTCCGCCCAAGAACACGACATCAATCAACTTAGTGACGTGACTTTTGCCACGAGGATGTATCAAAACCAACACACTTCTACTCGTCAAGCCTCTCTCTTCAACATTGCGTTAGACATACTGGCACATGATTGCATGGTTCATGTCTGGCGCATTTGACGAGCAGTGCAAGGCGAGGAACAAATCGTTCAACCCACCGCAGGCAACCCTTCTTACCAGCCGCCTTTTTCGGGTAACAACTGCCGCTCCGGAGGCTGATCTATACTTAGTCAGCCCCCTTATAATGCTCTCCAAGCAGCTATACTTAGGTAACGTTTTGATGCCGCCGAGAAGACCCTGAAACGAACAAAATTGGACATACTAGCCAGCTGTGTTCACAAGACGATTGAACCCAGCTGCTTGAGCACCAGCTCAACCGTGCTTTGGACTCACTTGACCAGACTTGGTGAAGTCTCTGACACGAATAATATTACGGACGCGCCAGCGATTTTCTGCTTTGGCCTCTTGATGAACAATCATATTGATCTTTTTGATAATAGCTGGGATGGCATCTAGTGGCGGACACCATAGCGAATCTACGATAAGCTTTGAACAGATCCCATGGCAATATATTATTCTCCGAGCCTATACTCCCTGACTCGGGCAATGCACCCTGAATGTGCCAAGCGTCACCCATATCAACTACTAGTACCGTAATAGACGTCCAGGGTCCCAGATCATGGATCACTTACAAAAAGTCTCAGGGGGCCTGGGCAAGCGGCAAGACGATCTACCCAATCTCTGTTTCGTGCGTGTGCAACAATGGGACCACCCGCGGGAATCCTTACGCGGTGAGAAAGTCGAGGTCAAGTTGAGGCCCTTGCGTCCACCGCGATCGAAAGCGACTAAGAAAAGAAAAAGAGCAAGAAAGCAGGGACGAGAAGCGCAGATCACTGGGACCAAGAAGCCCGTATCAATGGCACTTTATGACAAGGGGGGCAGGACCCAACTATGTCAGACGAAAGACAAACTTCCCAAATGTCCACCAACT